TGTACAGCACCAAGGTTCACTGAGTTTTGGTTTAAAACAAATTTAAAAGTCAGCATGAAACGCTGTTTTCAACCCTTGGCTAGAGTGATAAATTAGATTCTGTATTTACATAAATGTGTTATTTGAAATTGGGACAATGCCAATCTTTTTTTTTTATAATTAAATTTTGCCTTAGCATTAACTCTGCAGTGTTTCTTTAGAAAAATATAACTTCTGCAGAACAGGCAACGGAGTTTTACCTGAACCACAGATGAAGACAGTGCTGCCGAGGGTGACGCCACCTCTGCGACAGGCGTGGATCCCTACAGACAGTGGTTCAATCAGGGCTCCCTCTTCAAATGTCACATTATCAGGCAACCTTAAAAAGGCAAGAGTGATGATAAGAAAGGATGGGGGAAAAAAACAACATGTGCACACATTATGCAAGAGAGTCAGTTGGCAGACAGAGACCAAATAGTTATTGTGTAACACCTGGTCTAATGCTGGGTAATTCTTGGCAAACATTTAAAAAAATATATTTCACTTGTAGCAGAAGTTGGCATTGTGCTTGTAGTATCTGCACAGGTTCCCATTGTCGGGGGGTGTGGCACAGAAGAAGATGGACGGAGATAAGTTATATCGTCCATTTTTGAAGAACTCGTCCATGTCTCGGGGAACACCGGGCTCAATGGCCACTCTGTCACCTTAAAGGACACAGAGTCAGAGTCAAATATACCCTAAACATCTACCTCAGTGAACTTACTTTGTAGTTGCGTAATATCTATATATGTGCTATATGTGACAATTCCAAGTGTTCCAAAGAAGCAATAGCCATACAAACAAAAATATTAGCTTTTATTGATCTTTTAATTGATTTCGAAACTTTATTTGTTGGTGCAGACGACTGGGAAAACATACATAAGTAGATTTTTGCTCAAAAGGAGTGGCGGGAAGCCTAAACTTAACTTAAATCTCAGCCCTTTATTCCGCAACATATTCCATTCCTACTAACGTGTACTGACTGTAAACAGGTTTGTGTACCTGTACCGTAAGAGCTTGTATTATTATACATAAATACAGTTATATAGTCAACACACACAACATACCGATTTTAAGGTGTTTCACAGCAGATCCAGTTTTCACCACTACCCCTGCAGCTTCATGACCCAAGACCATTGGTTTTCGGACCACGAAGTCTCCGATTCTACCGTGCTGCCAGTAGTGAACGTCTGATCCACATATTCCCACTGAGTGCATCTGCAGCAAAACATCTGCATACAACAACGACATAAAGACACAGTTCAATTTAATCTGCACAGCCTTAAACACTTTTTTTTTTTCAAATTTGCCAATTTACAATAAACAATTAAACTTTAATTAAATGTTTATTGTGTTGACGTATCATGGTTATGCTTTAAAGAGAAGTACCATCAGGTCCTGGTTCGGGAATGGGTAGATTTTCCTGTTAACAAAAGAATAATATATTTATTTATTTTAGTAATAAAGCTAACTTTAAGCACGGTTTATTCAGATATACTTCTTTTCTGTCTCTTACAAGTCGCAGGTCGCCTTGAGAACGAAGCACCACAGAGAGGTTTTCCTGCGCCATCTCAGACAGCAGCGGTGAACTGTCAGCAGCAGCGCAACGTGTACTGATCAGACCTGCAACTTCCGGGCTGTGACGTACAATCAAAATAAAACCTCTGATTGGTCAACCGGTGGCGGAACAGTCCAATTTGGAGGGGCGGACGATACTGTGTTTATTTAGTGTTCGTCAGTCGTGAGCAGTGATTGTAATTTTTTATGTGAATACTAAAAGAACAGTGAAAACAATTTTGAAAACTTGATTTAAAATCACCAACAGAACTTAATGATGTAGATTTTAACTGTGTTTATTCAATATGGTTTTGGCTGTATACCAAGCTGCTCCAACAGAATGGTGGTTTTGTGTCATTTGACAACATTAGACATTAAGACATTGTATCCATCCTAATAAATAAGAATAATTGAGATAAAATATCAGAACTTGCCATTTAATGTAATTTATTCATATAATTTATTCAGAAAAAATCACAAGGGTAGTGAGGTAGCATGAACACAACAAAAACAAACTGACAAATGTACCCCAATTTCAAATTCAAACACAAAAATACCAAACGGTAATTGCTCCCTCTTAACTGTCCTTCATATTTGTGATTGTTGATGTGCAGGCTCCACAGTTGGAACAGTGTGAACATTTTGGATAGAAATCGCAAAGATCACCTAAATATTTTGGTAGGGCATCCATTGCAATATAACCTGGATAAGAGATAAGGGACATCAAGTTTTGTATTTCAGTAAGTCAAAAACAAGATATATATATATATATACAGTATATATATTAAAAGTAAATAAAAGTGTTATGTTCTTATCAGAAGATTATATGGTAATAAATGCTTCACCTGAACGCTGGTTTCTGTCCGGATATTTCAGCAAAGGACATTGATCAACATCCGATGAATCTGTGTCAGACTCCTCTCTGGAAAGAAAAAGGACTAACAATTAGTCCACTATAAGGATTGTACATGCTATGAAATGTAAGGGTACATATTTATAGGACAAACCTCCCCCTGTGAACTCCTCCTTCAGGGTGTCCATCCTGTGAACTCAACTGAAACAACACAAAGCCAAATGAGAAGTGCAAAGTGATTCATTTAGCACTGCATAAATTACAATGTGCAACCCACCTCAGATGTTGGCAGCTCATGTTCAAATTCCCAAATCAACCTGCCAACCACCTGTCTAATTTCTGCAATTACAGCCAAGGGGAAAATATGTTTATTAACCATTGACATTAAATGTAATTCTTATTTTTTTATTGGACTTACAATTATGTCAAATATAAAAAAAATGTATGATGTATTACATATTTTGTATTTTAGTTAGTTAGAGTTCACTGAGGCTTCAGTTACAGACAAAAACAGAAAATAAACATATATTTGTTCTCACCATCCTGTACTGACACTGGAGGGAGCACATAATGACCAATGGACACAGACCTCACACTCTGCCGTCTCTCACAAGCGGAAAGAAACTCGCTGTGAAAAACAGTCACCTTGTTCAAGAGATAGTCTTTACTCAGAAATATCCTATAAAAACAAAACAAAACAAAACATACAATTCAAAACATAATATTTGCTCGGAGGATTTATAAAAAATATATAAATCTGCCCATTTAAATAATATTGCTCCCATGGCTATGGTTCGAAGGCAAGATATGAAAATGTATTAATGTAATTCTGTCATTTATATTCTTCTGAATAAATTGGACTCACTTAGGTAATAACATTAGTTTTTAACGTGGGTGCCTTTTTATGAAACTGCTCCTCACCTCAAAGTATCCTGACATGTGGCATCTTCACTAAAAATATAATCTGCTGTCTTCCAACCAGTAACAGTTCCACCCTGTACAACTAAAACCAAATGTGTATTATCATAAGAAACCAGGGTGACGTAAATACAACCAAAAGAGCAAACCTCTCTCAATCTACAAAAGTGCAAATATTAAAATATTTGGGTTTATATTTTAAATATTTGTTATACAACAAATCATCAAAGTAGTTTTGGTTAGTACTCACTCCAAAAGGTACGGCTGTTAGGAGACACACTCTTGGAAAACCAAGCCGACTTTTCCCTAAACATTTCAATAACGTTTAAAAAAAATAAATATGGAATCTTGCGGAAATTACGCAGGTTGTTACCATGCGCTGCGTTCAAATGCTGAGGAGAACTGTCGGAGTTCTGAAATACATAAACACAACGATTAAAAAGGACGTGATTTGAACTTACGGAAGATACGAAATACCTCGTGGTGCTATTAAAATATAGTTGTTGTTTAGTTAAGCTATCACGTTAATTTATTTTATGTAGGAATCACGATATAAACAAATAAAATGCAATTTCAATGGGCTCGTGGCTTGTGTACCTCGGAAGTGACTGTTTTTTGTTTTGTTTTGTTTTGTTTTGTTTTTAACAAACACCGTCGGAAACACGTCTGAAAGGTGAAATAAGACTGGGCTTTAGGTTTTTGTTTTAAAAGACATACAGAATGTAATTATAAGACATTATGCCATTTTAAACATTTCCATTCGGAACTGTCATTAAAATGGCCTGCAGCTACAGTTGTCTGTCAAAGTTGAGGTAAGAATCAACTATTATCACAATGTTTATTTAAAGTATTGCTATTACAGTTAGTTTGGCCGAGTTGGCATAAAAAAGTCGTACCTTAGTCGGCAGTGTTTTAATGGATATTGAAAACGTAACATAAGTAGTTTAACGTACAAACCAAACCGTCAGGGCCATGTGTTGGAGGAGTGGTTAGTGCACTTGCCTTACAGCATGAATTTGATTCTAACTGACGCTCCTTCTGTTTGCAATTCTGTCTGTCATAATGAGAAAAAAAAGGATGAATATACAGTATTGAAAACAATAACGTGTTTCATGAACAAATCAAGCATATTGCAAAATTCCTGAATGTTTTGAGTTAGTTAGTTAAACATATTAAATACAATAGTTGTTAGCAGTAGAGTGTATGAAAGTATTTGTATGTCGTTCATCTTCCACTTACCTTTTAGCTGGAGCAGTACCTACATTTACCACTAGATGGTAATACTTTGCAAAATACTGTGCGTAACTCAGGTGAAATGAAAAAGTCATTTCATGAGCTTTATAACAGGTCTTTTAAGTATTTCACATTACAAACAGCTTCTGAAATGGATAAGGATTAAGAAAGTCAATTTATTAGCATAAAATGTTTTTACGGCTACTTAAAAAAGAAGAAATTACATGTTTTAAAATGAAGTGACTAGTGTATATGTGAGACTGTCAGTGTATGTATTTTACCTGGTTTGTATATATTGTATGTCTAAAATGTGAACTAGCTTTTTAGTTATATCTCCAGTTTTATTTAGTTGTGCAACATGATTTCAGGTGCACTGGCTTTCACACTCCTGTAGATGGTTTAATGTAGGCATTAGCACCAGTGCTTTATCTTCTATAAGCTTTCTTAGTGAGGTTGTCTGCAGGTCAGGTGCTCTCTTCAGTACACAAACACACATAGAACCCTTTGACTCCTTATAATGAAATCCCAGAAACGTCATGTAACCTTGTGTTTTATATCAGTGGCAGCCAGTTAAGGAAGATGGAGATGTGTGGATGATGCTGTTGTGAAAAGGGTTTAATCCCACACTTTTAGTGTGGGATTTTTTTTTATGAGTGTACATATAAAACAGGCTAAATAATACACTGCTTGTTTATCATGTGTGGGCACCAAGCTGTCTATAATTTGTTGTTTACATTATTAAACAGAAAGGACACAGGGTTGCAGTGTGTTTGTATGTAGAATGTTTTGCAGCCACCATCTTTTAATTGCCGAGATCTTTCACTCTGTACACAGTGTAGAATTGAGGGGTTCAAAGCAATAATAATTCTGTTGCTATGACTACAGCGATGCCACACCCTGTTCCTAACACCCAACCCCCAACATACTCTGCTGAGAACAAAGCAGTGAGCAGAGACCACCATCCAAGCAGAGAGCACTTGGATGGTGGTTCTTCCACTAACGCTTACAATGACTGACTCAGAAAAATCAAATAGGACTGAAGAGGGTATTTGTTTATATTAAACATGACTGGATGTCATAGAATAACACAATACAACAAGAAGTACAGGAACTGTTCAATGAGCAATAGACTCAAGCAGATTCAAAAGGTCTTTGGTGATTATTGTAGCCCAGCATCATGGCAGTAGATGTTTTACTAAGGTAAATCTCCAATTAAATGTTGTGTCTGACTACACTTTATTGCATTTATATAATGTCTGATAGCTTTATTTACACAATTGTATGTAAGAATTACAGTGGGGTTTTCTTTCCTTGTTTTTGTCAGTTCAGCTTCCCTCTTCCAGGACAGAATAAATGGCATACAGTGGCAGATCCAACTGCTCTGACCTCATCCGTCTCCTATTTGTCACCAGTGATATTGACCCATTTACGCTTTTTAAAGAATGTAACATTGATCATGTACATTTTAGGAATATGTTGATAGGGTCACTAATTTCTAGTTACCATACTTTTAAGTTTTAAAGTCAAACATTTCACCAATTTTTTTTTGTTTTAAGTAGTAGGACCATTAGAACATACAGGAAAAGGACAATGTTTTTGTTTTAAGTAGTGTTGTCTAGACAGTAATCCTCAACCATACTTAATAAAAGTGCAGTTTACTGCTATTTCAGGGCCATTAGAACATACAGGAAAAGGACAATTAAAAAAACTGTATCACTACTAAAAACCACCATCAGCGGACAGTGAGTGTCATCACTGGATGTTTGTATACAAGGTAACTGTTTAACCCAGAGTTCTGATGTGCTTTAAAACAGTGTGTTCAGACAAGTTGAGAAACAACCGTTGTCTCAGTGAAGTTCTGCTGGCTGTAACTTTCACATATTTACAGCTCTGAGATATCACCAGAGAGCCAGTCAGCCTGCAGTACTTTGTCAGTGAGACGGAGCAGTAAACCTGACTGGAGTTATTACTTCTTTCAGGAGTTATACAACATCTGATTTGCTGTGCAGTTTTTCACTTTAACTCAAATTCATCCCCATTAGTTGTAATTCCCACTGAATTATCTGCCTATTATCTCCCGATTATTCTCTACGTCTGCCTAACAAGTCTTTATTCTCCACCTGAACAAACATCAAAGTAGTGTGCTTCAAATCACAGGTGTTGAAGGATTAAGGCCACCGCAGGACAGGGTTTTATTCTCAGCCCCTTCTTTGATGTAGCACCACTTTTACTCAGTTCCTCAAGCCTGTAACATGGATTATTCTCTCAAAGCCTCCCTTTCTGTACTGAAAATATTGAGTGTCTCACTACCACAGAGCATCGGAAGGTAGTAATCAAGGACCCAGGGTTAGAGCCCGAAGCCCTAGTGTCAATACTTGACTATAAATAAGGCCCAGTTCAAGAAAATTCAGTGTTTAAATGCAGTCGCTGAATATAACTCCATTATCTGTAGTACATATGCCAAGTATGCCATGTATGTGGCGCTGTGTAAACACCACCTAAAATGGATGTGATTCAGATCTTTATTTTATTTGCTACAAAAGTCCAGTCTAGAAAAACGCATAGAATTCCTAAATTAGGCAGAGGAAAAAACGTTTTTTAGAGTGACTCCTGCTCTCCTGCTCTTGCTCTGTGCTGACCTTTAACCTTGTGTCAGTCGAGTGAGTGAGTAGAGCCATGAGGGAGTAATGTTCCCCAGACTGTTGGGGAGCAGGCAGACAGCAGCTGAGCAGAGTGACAGTGAGATGTGAGGAAACTGTCAGAGGACTACAGCGCAGACCCACCCGTAGACAAGTGTAGACTGTAGGGAGGATTTGAACAAAGAAAAAGCCCTGACAAGAAAACTGTTTTCAAAACCTAGGTTTTGGAGTGTCTGCTGCCAAGGTTTATGTCCCCTCCAGGAATGTGGATACGTGTCATGTAAAAGTGTTAGTTACTTTGCTCCACAGAGACTCTGCTTCCAGAGTTAGAGGATGACATTGCAGAGGAATGGCTGCTCCCTGGTGCTGGACCTCCACAGAGCTCCAGGTGTGAGGATTGATGACCTGACCTTGTCCTCTAGTGAAGGCTTTTTCCCTCTCATAATTTTGTTTCCTTCTCATGTCATCCTTTAGTTTTAGAAACCTAATATCACAGTACATAGACATTTCCATCCAGTTTGACACCCCGCTCCCTCCCAGTCAGCGGCATGTGTTTATGCCCAGTATTCATCCAAGATATTTAAGAAAACTACTTCATTTAATAAGGTACACAAGACCATTTTAATTTGTCTGGTGCTCATTTTGTTAAAAAGAAATTCTGATAAAATCATAAATCATGTTATGTTGTGAATTAAGTGTATTGTTACACCAGTATTTGCCACTTCGAAAAAAGTTCTAATTGGACAGAGATGCATAAAATGCCATTTGAAAAAAATATGAAAAAGTTCAGCTTGAGTACATTTTAAATAAAGAACAGAGTAGAGGACAGATTAAAGTAAAGAGTATTATTGGATGTCTGCCTTTACCCTAATGATCTGAAGGCCTGTTTCTTATTCCATGCTGACAGGATGTTTTTGTCTAAACACAGACTCATCCTCTTTTTTTTATACTCACACACAGCAAACAGAAACTCTGACACATACATAGAGTTTGACGGAGAACAACATTATGTTAATTGACTCCTAAATTCTAACCTAACTTGTCGTGTTCATATCTGGTCTCCCAGATATGGAATGAGAGCAGCACTGCTGCTGGTCTTTTTTAATTTCACACTTTCTGTAGATGGAGAGTGTACTCGTGTTAGGCTCAGGTTACCTCTGCCTGTGGCGGGAAATAAGCCTGCTGTGACCTTGACCTTGGCCCTGCTGATGGACTCAGCAGCAGTTGTGTTTCTCTCTCTTACAAGGCCAACATGCATGTACAGTCCGGTACATGTACTGTATGTATTATATAATTTTCTTAGAACATGGGGACATTGCTGTCCTAGTTTTCTCTTTATGTTGAAGAGTGCAGATGAAAGCAGTAGTTCATCCAATTACTTTCTTTCACTTCATCTTTTTGGAGGTTGTCTTTTTAACCCAGGACAGTTCATCACAGAGCAACGCACAGACACAGAGAACCATTCACACTCTGTATCTAGAGTTCATTTAGAGTAAGGTTGTCTGATACCAGTGCTAACCAATACAAGGAGAGTATTTTCATTTGTGTGCTTGCCTATACAAA